GGGTGATGAAGCGAAGGTTTTCCTGTGTTAAAATAACTGATTTACCTGTTTGCCACAAATGTAGTCCCAGCCAGTCTTAATAAAAACTTGTTTAGACTCTGGTCATTGGGTCTTCTTGTACTGTTTCTTGATCACTTATTCACTGTGTACTCCCAGTTTTTTTTTTCTCAAATTCATTCAAGTAGTTGTGATGCAAGTATAAATGCTTTATTACTTCTACCAAGTTATTTCCTTTGTTCATTCCCACAAGGTTTGTGTCAACATGTGTATGATGGACCATTAATAAAACTCTTATGAATATAATTATTTTATTCCAACACTCTATTGGGAGTAGTGTTCAAAACGGTATTTTTGAAATAAACTTAAAAAATCAAATCTCAAAAGATGACAGGTCCTAAAAGTACAAGCAGGATGGATTGTTAGACAGGAATTAACTTAATCTATGACTCCTACATTATCAAATTATGACATGATCTAGAGAACGGTAACTTCTGCTAACTTATAATGAGCTGTCATTTGCCAATATGAAACTTTTTGTTTACATTATTATAATCATCCATATATTTGGTCAAATACAATAATACATAAATTTCTAACACATGAAACAACCATTCATCACTTTCAACTTGGGAGACAAATCAGTTCCCGAAAAAGAATTGTTGTACTTTACAAACATTCCTCTCCTACATTTTTTTTATATGTAGAAAGTTAGGCAATCTTCATAGCTTCTTAAACGGTCTGATATATGGCATACGAACTCTTAAATTCTTGATGACTAAAGGGTCATTATGTCAGGTACTTTTTGACAGCATCTACTAAGTTTCGGACCATCAACTACCATCATTCTTATTGTATACATTCAGAAAGATATGCGAACTACTTGGTTATAACTCTGTTGCCATACAAATCAGTTTCTGCTATGCACAGATTATGGACAATGATGCATCATCTTGCACCAGTATAATTGATGAAGTTTGTAGAACTAATTTCACTTGTATTGTACTTATAAAAATGTTTCATGTAAAATGCCGGTATCACTCCATTTAATAATTTTACATTCAAAATAATCTGTATACTATAATGGACATCACAATGCTTAAGTTCAGCATCAGTGAGTGAAACTGAAAGTAATCCTACAATCTTCAAGTGAAAATGGACATCTTCAACAGTGATCCAGTGCCATGACTAAACAAGGGCTACAATTAGCCTATACTTAGCACTTACTCCATGAGTACAAATGAAAGTGTGGAGAAAACAAAATACTGCCGTGATGTAAATTTTACTATGGTCATTTTATGATCCAAAAATCACCCATTGATATTAATATACAGAATAAAATAAAATTAAGTGTACACACATGAGTGCATTCATGCATGCCAGTATCTATGTGTGTGTGTGCGTGTGTGTGTATGTGTGTGTGCGTGTCTGTTTGTATGTGTGTGTGTGCGTGTCTGTGTGTATGTGTGTGTGTGCGTGTCTGTGTGTGTGCGAGTGTGCGTGTCTGTGTGTGTGCGTGTGTGTGTGCGTGTGCATGTGCGTGTATGTGCGTGTGTGTGTGTGTGTGCGTGGGAGATAGAGTAAAACTGTGCAGAAATGTGCATGTATACATGTACACAAGGAAACAGCCATCCCGAAACACAGACACAAACAACTTTGTAAGAAAATAATCCAACATTTTCACTAAATATCATTTCACAAAGAAATCAACTACAAGATATAATCAAGCTCATCCCTGGAGTATATGTTGTTGCCTGTATTTAATATCCGTGGATACCCTGCCACAAGAGCATCTTGAGCGCCAATATACAAATTGTTGTAAATTTTCCAATAAACATCTCGAACTTTTCTTGCTGGGTGGAAAAGCCCCTGCAACACATACTGAAGAATCTGAAATAGAAAATTACGTTAGCAAAAACAAACTTAGAAGTCTTATTTTGCAACTTCAAATAGATGTTGTACTGATGTATTCAAACAAAATCTCAGCAACAATATACATATATATATAATATATAAATATAAACACACATTTCTCTTTAAAGCCTTACCTTCTGCGGTCCAAGGGCCACCCTGAGTCCCTCAATGCTGTCCATGAAAGCTTGGACCAGATGAGGTGATGTCTCAAAGATATTAGGCCATACATAATTCAACAAGTGAATCAGTGCATCTTCGCAACCAAAACCATAAACGCCAATGGCCATATGTTTGATGGCTGCACATGCAGTCTGCCTGTGCACTAAATCTCTGTCCATGAGAGCATCTTCCAGAAGTGATGTGACAGCATATATATAATCTTTCCCCATTTCACCAATATATTCAAAAAGGAAAGAAAGGGACTTCAGAACTCCATTTTGGACATTCAGTTCAGGAACTCTGTATTCATTCATAAGACCTGGGAGAACTGTAAATGGGGAACATGTCTCAGCGACTATAGCAATAGCCACAGTTGTACACACTCGATTTTGTCGCTCTTGAACCTTAAGGTTATTTAATAATGTAGCAAGCACATCGTGTGGACCAATGGCTTTGGCAATATAACCAAATGTGTTTACTGTTGCTCTTCTGATGGCTTTTTTGTGTGCTTTAAGAAGTTCTAACAATTCAAAGCAAATTCTCATCCATTCACGAGGACTCACATACTCTGGTCCTCTGTCAGCAATGCGTCCTACCAAGTCAATGCAATTTTCTTGTACTTTTTCATGTCTGTTCTTCAGAATGGGAGTAAGACGTGGGAGAAGATCTTTGATGGGAGGGTTCATTTTGTGCATTCCAATAACATTCACAATACCTTTCAAAGCACCGAGAATGGACCCAAGAACTTCGGGATATTCTTCACCAAGATATTCATACAGCACAACACCCAAATGTCCCATCAGTTTCTCTTCCTGGCATGTTTTCATTACTACTGCAATGCGAGATATCAGATCTGCAGCTTGTTGACGCACTTTGGCAGACTTATTATTCAGGCGCCACAATATAGTACCACAAATTTGAGGAAGGTAAGCCTTGACACGTGATCCAAGAGCATTAACAATGGTACCAAATCCATTGAGCATAACAACATCTTCTGTAGTCTGCTCCTGGAATGCATAAAGAATACCGTCAATCAACTGTTCTTCAAGTCGAGAATCAATGTCTGCTGCACCTAAGTTAGCCATAATCTTTTCAATTGTTTCCATTACCATTTTACGGTACTGCTCATTTTCATCTTTTAAATCATCTACAATACGGTTAACAATCTCAGATGCTCCAACTTTATTTGCAATCTCAACAGTTGTATCGACTAGCTGGCGGTAATTTCGCCGATCAAGAGCCATTCTGTGGTTCCAAAAGTGCTTGAAGAAGTGGGGTAGGATCTCCTCCTTAATATATCCTGGTTCCACACCATCTGTGGCACAACACTGTTTGACCACCTTCAACACAATCTTCTTCATTTCTTCATCAGGACTTTGGAATTCACGAATGAGGATCAACATCACTTCCCTTGTATAGTAGTCAGCATACTCTCCATCCATAAGTGGAATCAGATAACCAATGGCTTTCAAAAAGGCAGCAAGACCCTTGCCACGGTGCTGTCGGATACCACGCCACAGAGGCTTCAAAACAGAATCAAAACTCTCAATACCATAAGGTGTTGCTGCTTCTGCCAGTGCAGCCAAGGCAAGAGCAGTGATAGTTCTCACCTTCTGTTGCTCATCAACAAGTCCATGTTCAATAATTTCAACAAGGGAACGGAGATGTGGCAAAATTGCACAACCCATCAAGATGGCAATCTGCTGTACAATTTTAATACCAGTATGTCGTGCCTGCCATGACTTTTTGCTCTTACAAACAGCCTTTAAAAATGGTAGCAAAGATGGAATCCCAAGGGCAGAGGCCACAACAGCAAAGGCT